CTTGCCAGTCTATTCAAAATGTTGCGCTTATGTTACAATTAGCAAAGTTAACTCATCTCGCGAGAATATGAATCGATCAGAACACTGGTCAAGCTTAACAGTAGCGAGCTTCACAGACCAGAGGCTTATGTACCGCTGTTCTTGACAACACGGACACGCAGAAATAGAGCTCATAGAGATGCGTAAGACTTCTTTGTGGTGCTTAAAGCTGTGAAGGAATGCAAGTGTGTTTATGTGCTTTATCGGCACCTCTCCAGCTATAATGCCCGTGTGGCAAGCAGGAACTTATTGGCAGAGGTTACGTAAGTGTTACATCAGAACTACATGCAGGGATCACGTGATCTCTCTCACACAGGTAGGAGGGGGACCCTTTTGAGATATTCTCGATCCGTAGCACCATCTCTCTCTGCCTTACGTCTGGGGGAAGTTGAATTTTTACAAAGGCTGTTTAAGATTGCTTCCCTTGTCTCCAAGGCTGCCAGGAGATAGACGGCAAGGCGAAACAGGAGGCAGGGGTGGGGGAGGAGAGAATGGGAGAGGAGATAGGTGAGAAAAATGTTACAAGGAGATCATCTTATACCCATTTCTCCAAGTGTTCCCATTCGGGTGCTTGCAACAGGCTAACAGGCTTGGTATGAACGTGCAGGGTTACATGACCGATCATTCCGGCCAGTTATGTAAGGCAAGGATGCTGTTACCCCCTCACCCCAACCTTCCCTGCGCCGTCCGGACTCGTGCGTATTGACTGCGTCTTCGGCGCGATAGAATTTGTGACAGGGAGAGGCGAGAGATGCTCAATGTTACTTAGATGTGAGACATTAGGAAAACACAGTTAAGAGAGAGTACGAGAGTTATATATACTAACGTTGCAAGTACAACTAAAGGATGCGGGCTCACCGTAGCCTGTGCTACTTGGAACAACAACTAAAGATTGTATAAACCCTGTGGTAGCGTTCCTGCCTCCCTATCCCAAGGCTGCTGAGTCCTAGATGGTAAGTCTATCTTCCAAGCATCCAGCTTTACCTCATCTGTCTTAAAGCCATCCAAGTCTACACACCCTAGCAGTATTCTTCAGAACTGCGTCTTATCCTGCACACCATAACCCCATCCTTCGCAACGCTCGAAGCCTACACACACGGCCCCATCCTTCATTGCGTTTTCCTATCTCTATCCATCCTTCCACCGAGTCTCCACAACACCCATCCTGCTGCAGTAGCAACAGTTTTGACTCTTGCTGAAATCACCTTCCTTGACACCACTACTGTAGGATTTTAACCCAAATAAGGTGCTCCAAAAATACACAAATGATCCACGCGAGCCATATTTTGATTGTAAAGGCAAGAGCCACAGAATATATTCTTGTCACAGAAGCCTAAAGCGCTATATAAGGTTGTTTTTGTATAGCGTTGACCTGGTGGGCGAGTCACGTGACCAGGCCGCCGCCTCAGACTCTCGTAACCATAGCAACCTCTCACACACCTCAGAATAACCTCACTCGGGCGACGTCCTTGCTCCAGCATCATTAAGTTTGTAGTTCAAGGGACTTATTTGTTCATCTTGAATTAACATTTTTCGTTCGGATTGCAGAATTCAAAACACGTTTATAAATATAGGACTAAAGGTTGGGCCGAGATATGTACTGTGATGTGACAGATGGTTATGGGGGGATATTTGTGTGTGATAGTTTGTTTTGCGTGCGTGCGGAGGTGGAAGCCAGGGCCGAGCGCACGCCCTCGGACACTGGCGTTGCATCACCCCCGTTGCGCTGGATTTTCCACAACACTTCGTCCTGATTGATCCGTTTGTCTTCGCTGGCGGGCGTTTCAACTTGTATTTCATTGTTCATCTGTTTTATTTGTCCCATTTGCGAGGTGGGGAGGGCAGGTGGTGTCCCGAGCCGTCACACAGGGAGGAGAGGGGAGCTGCCACACTATGCCAGGCTCATCCTACCCCATCTTTTGAGTTGGCACCGCACCAAAATTCCGCAGTTGGACAGCAAAAGCAGTGGTAGTGGTGGTGGAGGTGGAGGATGGGGGTTGTTAGTACACGAGCGGTCCAATAGTCGCTGCGGACGCCACTACGGGAAGGAAGCAGTTGTACTGTGTGTGTGTGCACCTCTCGCTCCTCTCTCACACACAAGCCAGGCACACGCACCCGGTCTCCTGACGTGAGTGTTACTGGCTTCGGTCACACGGACGCGATTCCTAGAAAAAAAAATTAGAAAACTTAGTGCGAGAATTCTTTTAATTTTCTAATTATAAATCAGATGTCATTCATGTAAAATCCGGTGTTTGGATGTGTATTTTATCTCCTAGTTACCAAATGGAGGTCAGTGAAGGGGGGGGGGAGGGGGTTATTTGACAGGTGTTGACTCTTAACCTCTTTTGTCAGTATATGTTGAATAGGTTGATGGATTTTTTATTGTTGCCGCCGGAGGCGGCTAGTTTATTGTGCACCCCATACTCATCCTGTGAGCGGTAGCGCAAAAAGCATTACAGAGGGCACAAAAGGTCTTTATCAGGTTGATGGAGGTTGCCATAGCCCCGTGTCCGTAGGTATGTGTGCGAGAGGTCGTGGTGAGGCGCTGACTTCAATCTTATCTACCCCTCTCTGCCCTGGTGCATTCATTTGCCCTCATTCCACATCTTCAGTACAGTTTCCAAACGTTCCACGCCGTCCCTCCCACTGCCCGGGAACACCACACGAGGCTCTGGCTATAAATATATTTGAACTCTCCCAAGCAAAAAAATAAAAAAAAAATCTGGACCCAATTCGTACCCAAACAGAGTGTCGGGGCGGGTGCAGGTAACTGCCGCGTCCACCAGCGATCCGAACACGCATTCGTACCCTAGTGGGGAGTGGTGGGGGAGGCAGGGTGATGTGAGGTGTGTTTATGTGTGAGTACGCTCTTACGTCACTCACAGCGACAACCAGAATGTTTCAGCGTGTGCCAGAGGCTCATACTTAACCCCATTGAAAGATAAAGACAAAGTGGAGCACCACGATGGACAGTCAACCATATTTTGCGTCAGTTTTTTGTGTGCTTGGTTGGCTGGTTGTTACCCCCCCCCCCCTACCTACCGCTTCCTCAAGCAACAGCCTAGCAATAGCTCTCTGCATGTTCCTGAGCTAACAGTCCTACTGTGATATTTTAATTACTCTTTTTTTTCCCCCTTATCCAGTGTAACACCCACTCAAATATAGCCGTGAAATAATGTTTAAGAAACTGTAATTCCACAGACAGGGGTGTTCCTAAATAGGGTTACAGTATCTGAAGCGCTCAAACAAGAGATGCTGAGCAATGAAGGATGGGGCTCGATACACAATATGAACTCAATTTGACCCTTCCTTGACCGCTTTTGGCGGTATTTTGCTCACTAGGCAAATAGCGTTAGGAACATATATACATGTGTGTGTATGTATGTGTGTGTACAGTACAACAAATACAGTGCGTAAGCACAATGTAGTGCATCAGAAGCACATCAGTCAAGTACAACAACAGCATGACCAGTACCGCACTGCAGTACATCGGAAGCACAGCAGCAGCAGCAGCAGCAATGCAGTTACGTATGCAGTGCTAGAACTGACGGGCCCAGCCTAGCCACCCCGCGAGGGGCCTCTCTCTTGAGGTCGGCGTCCGGCACTCCACCCCCCACCAACCCCCACTAACCCATCCCCACAAACCCCTCCCCAACCCCTCCCCCCAGCCAGGAGGACCGGAACACCAACTTGTACCCAAACATTTCCATTTTTTTCATATAGATTTGTCTCACTCGGTCTTCTGGAGATCTTTATTCAAGTTTCACTTCGACTTCCATCTACTCTCTTCTCCCATTCTTTACTAGATTTTTTATTATTGAACTTTTGTTCCACTTGTGATATTAATTTGAATTTGTCTTGTTATTAACATTTAAGCGATTTTATTTTTTAAATTTCGTTATAATTTCGCCATGTTTCTTTATTTATCGTTTTCCCGAAGTCTTAGCATTCTGGTTCTGAGGGAGGGAGCCGTTACCTGGGCTTCCTCTTGGCTTTAATTTGCTCTTCACCTTGGGACTGGTTCGTTAACCTTGGGACTGGTTCGTTAACCTTGGGACTGGTTCGTTAACCTGGGGACTGGTTCGTTAACCTTGGGACAGGTTCGTTAACTTCGGACTGGTCCGTTAACTTGGGACTGGTCCGTTAACTTGGGACTGGTTCGTTAACATTGGGACTGGTTCGTTAACCTTGGGACTGGTTCGTTAACCTTGGGACTGGTTTGTTAACATTGGGACTGGTTCGTTAACATTGGGACTGATCCGTTGTCTTGGGACTGACTCGTTACACTGCTATCAAGGTCATCCCACACTCCTTGTTTACATGTAATACATATTTTCACATTTCAGTGATGATTCTTTACCGTGTTTACGAAAAAAAATAACAGCGAATACAGCCTTTTGCAGAAGCTTCCGAGTGCATTAATATGTAATAGTGCTTGCATCATATTGAAAATAATATGCATATCGCTGTTGCTGGTGTAATGAACTACCTGTGAAGGTCATCCGTGCGATTGTTTATAAGAGGGAGTGGGTTGGGGATTGTGCAGGGTGGGGGGTGGGGGGGGGGGGGGGGGGATTAATGGGTAGTAATGAAAAACGGTTTTTAAAAAGTTCATTTATATATATTTTTATAAAGTCACTAAGCACCTGCTGGAGCTTCATGTTCATATATGAACTGTTTTAAACTTGTTTCTTTTGATAATATATATATATATATATATATATATATATATATATATATATATATATATATATATATATATATATATATATATATATATATATATATATATATATATATATATTGTGCCTAATTTTGTTGATTTTTTTCAGCATTGTAGGATTTTATAAATTATAATATCAAACATATACATTCTGTATGTGTGTGTATGTAGTCTCATGCCTATTTCTATGATCGATTTTTTATTTAGATGACTAATAAGTATTTTCTGTCTTCCTCAGATGTGCTTCAACACCACATTATGGTGGCCGAGACTGTGAAGTCCTACCCCGTCAACTACCCGGCGCTCATACCCCTGTCGCCCTCAGTGGCCGGCCTGGGGCCCTACAACCCCTGCCCCTCTGCCCTCCTTCACGCTAACTACTCCCCAACGCACATCATGGACCAGAAGCCACCGTCACAGCAGCAGCAGCAACAGCAGCAGCAGCAGGCATGTCAAGGCTCTCAGCTGGGAAGTCCACAACATGGCCAGGACACTCCAGTAGGCCTTGGCGCTCCGGGACTAACTCTTCCATCAACTTTGGATTTGGCGCAGATGCGCAAGAAGGAAATTTTCGCGCAGCGGAAGCAGCGAGAGTTTATCCCCGACAGTAAGAAAGACGACTCTTACTGGGATCGTCGCCGGCGCAACAACGAGGCTGCCAAGAGGTCCAGGGAGAAGAGACGCTTTAATGACATGATCTTGGAGCAGAGAGTTATCGAACTGTCCAAGGAGAACCATATTCTGAAGGCTCAGCTGACGGCCATCAAGGACAAATATGGCATCCTGGGAGAAAACCTGGTGAATACCGATCAGGTGCTGGCAAACATGCCCCAATCAGAGCAGATCCTGGCACTCAACAAGCGGACAAAGTTCTCTCAGGCACTCATCACTCTTAACGGCACTCCTTCACTCCTCAGCCCCGGAGGATCCTGCGACGGCAGTCCTGCAACTCCCAGCTATCACAGCCAGCAGGATCCAGAGTCTCCTCCAGCACACTACTCTCACTACAACCCCTCCCAGATGGATGAAGAGGAGAACACGTACGATACCTCATCCAACCAGCAGTTTCCATCCTCCACGAACAGTAATCTCTACTACGGACAGTCGGCGCTGAACCTCTCTTCACGCGCCTCGCCGCCCTCGCCCACCACCTCCCATATGGACTTCTCCCCCAGCGACCCGGAGCTGAGTCGCCGCTCGCCCGAAGCTGGCATGTCTCTGCCTCACAAGCTGAGACACAAGAGTCACCTGGGAGACAAGGACGCAGCTCAGTCTCTCCTGGCTCTCCAGGCTATCAAAGCCGAGCCTAGCGAGCACCAACAGGAAGCTGCCGAGGATTCTGTAGGATCTTCCGATGAACGAGACTCCGCCATCGGCTATTCTTCCTCCTCCTCTTGTTCGGAATACAACCGGACATCCGATAATAACTCCACCCCACCTAATGCCTGTTCTCTGCCCGACAGCAGCAGCCAACAGCAGCTCAACCTGGCACATTATCACCAACAACAGCTGCACCACCACCATCACCACCTCCTTCAACAACAGCATCAACAACAGCACCATCAGCAGCAACAGCAGCAGGTGCAACAGCAGGGCGAAGGAGAGCAGGTGCTTGAGTTCGAGAACACACACCTTAGGTCCGAACTCGAGCGGCTGGCAACGGAAGTGGCCTCCCTCAAACACATGCTTGTCCGCAGACCGCGCTCCGAGGCCGACTCCGACGGGTCTCGCTAACCCCCTCTGCTGCCACTTTGATATATTCCGTGGCGGTGTGTGTGTGTGTGTGTCGTGACGGCGAGCCTGGCTGTGACATGGGCTCCGTGCCTGTGTATCTGGTGGGGGTTGATGGGGGCCGTTCGTGTGATATTCAGACGAAGGTCTCCCCCGGTGGACTAAATACCCCAGCTATCAACAATGACTACCAATCAACGTGCACTCTCACTCATGTGTGTGTGTGTGTGCGTGTGCGTGTGAGAGAGATTGAGTCAGTGGGTGGGTGCACACGTGTGAGTGAGTGTTGCCGCATTAAGGGCGTCTCTCTTCATACTGTAATTCTTGACTAATGTTAATGAATCATAATATTATATCTACACAAGTCAGGGGACCGCGCCTGTGTATTTTCTCTTACCTACAGTCTGTACATAAGTGCCATTAGATAAAATATATGTTTTGTGATCCTACCAACCTCTTTCTCTTACCTTATTTAAAAAGCTGATAACATTGACAATTCGTTTATGCTTAATTTAGTTATGCATGCAAGATTGATGCAAATAAACAACTTGCAACACGTAAGTCAGAGCCATAACTGAGCAGAGAAAACACCTAGCCTCTAGCCAATTAAATACGTATCTAAATCAAAAAGATAGCAAATATAATGTTAAAAAAATCCATCATAAATTAAAAAGAATTAATGCTTCAAACGTGCCAAAATGCACAAAGTAATTCTGTCTCCAAGTCATTACAACTATATACCACTTTGAAGGGATACGAAGACAATGTTTAGTGATGGGACGGGGGAGAGAAATGGTGGCCAACCGCTTAGACAGTTGGGGATTGAACGCCGACCCGTTACACACGAGACTGTCACTTATATGTTAAATGATGTTAAGTCAGAAACGAGAAAAGCCTTTAAATGCCACTAAAAAAACTACCTAGTGTAAAAATATGCAAATGTCTTTAATATGTTATTTAATAACAAAAATATATTATTTACACCAAATACAGAAACATAAATATAGACCGAAATATGGAATATATATATATATATATATATATATATATATATATATATATATATATATATATATATATATATATATATATATATATATATATATATATATAACAAAATCTATGCACCAAACAGAGTAATATACACCATACAACCAGTAAGTGATATGTATATTATATATATACCATATACCACATAGGTAGTGCTATACACCATATAATCAAAAGATGATATACACTATACAATCAAAAGGTGATATATACACCATATAAACAACTTTAGGTGTATGTCGTTTAAGTGAAAAATATCGCTATTAATGATAATTATAATAACTAATACTTTTAATAACGAATTGAACAAGAATATTGAGAACGGAGGAAGAGAGAACACTAAATGTTCAAAAAACAGAAACTTTCAAAGCCATCGAAGACAAATGTTGCTCCTACTTCACCTTCACAGACAAACACATCAATATTGTATATGATTTCGTCCTTAAGATCGAATGAAATAAACAAGAATTAATTACAGATTCGAAGACTCTAAAAAAAGCATTCTCTGAAGGTATAATAACTGCCTAATCGCCCTATTACCACACACAAACACAGTGGAGGCAAACTGCTCATTCACAGCTCAATAAACTCAAACCAGAACACAAGTTGATTGAAGGTTGTGATGCGTAATAGAGCGACTTGGTGAAGAGAAACATGAGGCTTATCATGATAATTTACCACCACCTAGTGGATAGAAATCCACCAGAGAAAAAAAAACTACACCAAATCATAACAAAGGCATCAGTATTACACACAAATTGTCCTCTAGTTGGATGGTAAACATTACACAATATATCACGGAAATGATATCGTCTGTTTACGCAATAATTGATTATCAAAACGCGTTAGTAGGCTGCGGTCTAGCCGCCCCCCACCCCATCCCCCGACCCTCCCTCACAAACCCCCGCTCCCCAACCCTCATAAACCTCCTCATCAACAACGATATTAAAGGAGGGTGAGAGACAACCAGCTATTGTGAGTTCTCTTCTCCCACATTCACCACAGTGACGTCACGCAGCCGGATTCTTCCTCTTGAAGTATCCGCTGACGTCCTTCAGGTCAGTGCAGCCATGCAGAGGTTTCGAGGATGTCTGACGAACGCTTGCTAGCCGGGAAGCCCATGACGTCACACACAACCCATTGAGTCATTACGTTTGTCAATACAAGGTGGTGAGTGTTGTGTTGGCGCAGGGGGGGGGGGAGGGAGAGAGAGAGAGAGAGAGAGAGAGAGAGAGAGAGAGAGAGAGAGAGAGAGAGAGAGAGAGAGAGAGAGAGAGAGAGAGAGAGAGAGAGAGAATGAGAGAGAAATGAGAGAGAGAGAGAGAGAGAGAGAGAGAGAGAGAGAGAGAGAGAGAGAGAGAGAGAGAGAGAGAGAGAGAGAGAGAGAGAGAGAGAGAGAGAGAGAGAGTGAGAGAGAGAGAGAGAAAAAAAAAAAAATGAGAATAAGAATAAGAATATCACAAAGGGTAGAGAACAGAGAATCTCCTTAGACGGTATGCTGATTCGTGCTAAAACACCAAATCTCAAATGGACTCTTTGTTGCATACGCAGACAGCCACAGGAAGCCAGAAACACGGCCACAACACTGCGTGACGCACTTAAAGTTGCTCATTTTAGAAAAGTTCATCTTTTAAACTCGCTCTCAGCTCCTTTATATGAAATCAAAATACAGAAACTGAATGAACGTGTAGCCTGATCTACACCTCAAGCTGTCTGGCACTGATCCTGAAATTTAAGAAACATAGCGTCAACAAAGCAACTTTAACCATCTCATTAAAGAAAACAAGTTTGTTAATACTGTCTTTTATTAAATTGCAAACTTAATTATACCTGTCTTCCAATAGAGACACGAAGCTGGGAAAACGAGTTCGTTGTCAATAAAATCAGTTTAATTAAGTAGACAGACCTTTCAAACACAAAGGTCACGGGAAAATTAATTTAAATATATAGGGGTAAGGGAGCCTTGCCCGAAACGCTATGCGTATTAGTGGCTTTAGATAGTGTATGTACTAGCTCTATCTATAAATCCAACTTTATGTTTGTAAATCAACTATATATGTAATTTTCCTGAATAAAGAATATGAATTTGAAAGAATTTGAATTTGTGGTTAAGAGGTTAGGAACCACTTGGTTACAATAATAACAGACTCGCAGAGGGACACTGTGTATCAGGAAAAAAACGACCTTATTTACTTATTCTTAGTTACAATATGCGACTAATTGTGTTGCTGTTCTTGTACTAATCAATTAAATCATCCCAACACAAATTATTTTAATTATCCATGCCAATAATATTAGGCTTGTAGCATTTACCCGGAGAAAAAAAGGATAAATTATTGCCAAGTCAACAACATTAAATTTCCCAGCCAAAAATATCGTAAATTCTTCATAAACATCACTCTCTGGACTGCAAACAACATAAACATATTCCCCTAGAGCGAACATAATTACCAGCACTAAAATAAATGAAATATAAACCCTCTTTCCACTTCTCGATAAAATACATATGGGAGAAAACGGCCGCTGCGGAAGGGAAGGAGAAGTTGCCATTTTCCAAAACGTGTTGTGTCCATCTCCCGAATAATTGAGCTTAACGCGTCATGTTCGTGGAATTAGACAGCCCACTTTGACACCAGCGTATCCAGGTAAAGCCATTGCATCCATACAGTATGCGTACATAGTATAAAACCTCTTAGTTATTGTGTATCATACTGTTTTTCAATTATGCCATAGGAAAACAAAACAAAACCCAAGCGTGAGCAATATTCTCATCTTTTCATCTCAGGTTATAATATATATGTAACTAAATAATTTATGGCTAGCAAAATTGATTGCACAATGTTATTGACAGGTGATTTGAGACGTGAAGTTATTAATGTGGCGTCACTAAGAGAAGACATAGAAGGTAATGTCTTCTCAGTGGATCAGCAGACCTCCAAATATGGCTGATGATTGATCGCGTGTCCCACTAGTGCACTAAATTGAAGCCTTCTAGTCAGGTAAGGCTTTCAATCATTTAAACTAACGCCAGTAGTACTAACTAATTAGTATACATTTTCTTGTCAATTGATAATTCTCGATTGATAGGCTACAATTAATAACTCTGCCAAACTTGTGTAGGGACATGACTTGTGGGAGAATTTAATTTCATACTGTCTCTTAATTAAACATAGTCCGCTAAGCTATCGTAATAAATAAATAAATATAAATTATAAATTAGAATTCAATTAATTCATAATTTAAAATAAATTAAATCCCACGAGTCAGAATTTTCCGCAATATGACTGTTGCTTTGAGAGATTGGAATCTTGTATTTAGAATATCTTAACATTTAAATTAACATCGCCTGCTACATAGCCTTCCCGGTTTGGTGCCTTCTATTGATAATTACTTACTTAAATTAACATTTAAATTCTGCTTTGATCTCTAAATACACGACGTCACATTTCTGTAAGTGTGCCCGAGACGGTATAAGTGCTTGTGACTGATCAAGAATGTGCCACTTAATCACTAACATATCTACTTTCACAACCCATTATTATCTCCTTGTATAAATAAACATTCATACTGGAGTCCGATCTTGGCGTGGCACTCCGGCCCCCGACCAACACTTAGACTTGACTGCCTAGCATTTTTAAAAGCACCGAATCACCTTCTGTGGTTGATTGTTCAATAAACCCCTGAACTATATGTTTAACACATCTCTAACCCTGTCCATGGAGGACAGAAGAAAATGTATATATGCTGGTTAGCATTGTAAATGTGTGGCCACGTCTGTGGTAGAAAATAATAATAATAAAGAAAAAGAAACTTGACTGCCTCAAATTCAGACATTACAGCCAAACAAATCTCCGACTCGGACAACAGATGGAATTCATTACGGGCTCACCATAGCCCGTGCTACTTGGAACTTTTTGTTCCAGGTAGCAAATCTTTAACAACAACAACAAGATGGAATTAAAAATTTGCAATTAAGGCCAAAAAACACTTAGAAGTATGATTAAAGTTAATGGAATAAAATTGATAAACAAAGAATCTGTGTGATTCGATGTGTCAATGGATTTTAGAGAAAAAAAAATTCATCTTATAAATTAAAAAGTTAAGTATAACATCGGCAAATATCGCCTTAGACGATCTGCAAAGGTTGTATTATACAACACTTAATGCTAAGTATATAGCAGATTTAGATTTAGCAACAGTTAAAGTTTAAAATATAGCATTCCACAGATTCTGGAATGTAGCCTAAACATTACTCGTGTTCCATAGCCTAGCAGACCTACTCTGGCTTTTCTCTCAGTCTCATCTTTGTCTCTGTGCCTACATCATTAGTGTGGGGTGTATGTTGGGGGTTGAAATTGAAATTGAAATAAGTTTATTGAAGTAAAATACACGCAAAGGG